GTTGCAACTTAAGCATATCTATTGCCGCTTCCGAATATACCGTACAAATGATGCACAGTTTTAGATTTCCAACTGCAAATGGGCACCAGTCTTGTTGGAACCAAGTAGCGAAGGAAATCAACTCGTTTTCAGATGCGAGCCGTAATTGGTGAAGTTGTATAGACCGAGGTGGACAGTGAGCTGTAGAAGCAACAGCCCCTTCCACATTCGACTCCAGAGAGGAATTTGGCACATCCCAATCTTGGAAAAAAATTCCGAGGTCCAGCACTTTTAGATGCGGCATATGGCTCAACAACGACGCCAAGTCCTTGAATGTAATGAGAAACCGAGTAAGAGAAAGCCGTGTCACCGAATGTGCCCTCAGCATGTTAACCAACGCTTCTTTGAGCGAAGGAGACACGCCGTTCCATTCATCGAGATCTAACGCAACTTTTTCCACGTTGAGGTTGGCCAGCCGATGAACAATGTTAGCTGTAGCAGCCTCAGCCGGCTCGGGCGGTTCTCAACTGTCAGCAGCTTGAAAGACCGGACATATGATGCCAGAGAGGGATTTGCGTCGAAGGATGAAATAAGCCGCTCTGTCATCTCTAGATAGATGGACCACATATGGACCGATGTCAAGTCGAGAACGATTTGTCGGAAGATGCCACGCTGCGAAGAGTAAACCCAGGCTCTTCCTACGAGTGCGCAGTTCAGAAGAGCATCTCTATCAAAGTAGAGGTTATCGAGGATGTACCCTACAAGTTCGTTGGGCAGTTTCACCATGGTGGTAGTGGAGAAAGTTGAATTGATTAGCTTTGACAGCTATTCATACTAGAAACGCTAAATTCTTCCTTGAGGGCGAATTAAACAGCGCGGGCATAGCCTTCCATGAGACGCGAAGTGATTCCGCACACCACGTCTCTGCAGCAGGGAGTGGTTCGAGTCTACTGAATCCCGAGATCGCGCCGTGTAGTTCATCTATCTATTCATCTATCTGAAGCAACTCAAGACGCGATGCTTCATTGCCTTCTTTAATTTCTGCTTCGGACCTTCATCTTCTTATTACTTTGCATCCAGCCGTGAATTCAAGATACATCAACGATCTCAAAACGATGCATTCTTCACCAGTGCACTTTCATAGACGCAACTAGGAGCTCCACAAGATCTACAGGATTGAGAATGTAAGAGATGGAACGAAGGTATCATACAGCCCATTCAAGATCAATAATGAGGTAGCATCGACCGCAATTCCCAAGCACACCCAATATCCATTTCCACATCTTCACCTATCCTTGGGAATACTAAGGGCACATTAAGGGTGCATCGACCCATGTTTTCGCAATTCCAGTGACACCCCATATCCATAATTCTTTCCTTCCACATTTTCATCTTCGTCCATCCCCTAGGTCCAAACAGAACAGTGAACATCAGCCAAAACCAACATTTTACATTGGCAGTAGGAGCGATACGTCCTAGTATGCGTAATGAACGCGACTTTTTCCAGCGATTTGGGCAATTTAGGATGGTGAACAATATCCTAGCTCTAGTAAACACTGCAGCAGGACTCGGAGAGACATCAGACGTTATCCATAGGTATCTCACCCGACTACCCAGTGCTTTATCGCAGAGCCAGGATCGGAAACTTTCCTAGGTTTTCGGAATTATGATTGGAAGGGATGCATTCGGTTCGTACGAGCTGGTGGATCACTTTAGACGTTAGAGAGTACGATAGGTTGCTTGTGGCTGTGAACCTGCCATACAGAGGATTTGGAGAGAATTTTCGATGGAGTCACTGGGCGATACTAGGCGAGAATATCTGTTCAATGCAAGATTTCTCATTATTCTCCACGTCCAGTTCATCAAAAATCCAGAAGATGTTTTTGCTGTACAGTAAGGCTTCGCACCGGAAGCTCACCAAGACTGGGGGAATAGAAAGAAAGAACACGACAGTTTCACTTTCAGTGATGAGATGAGAGTCGAAATATCGAACGTGACGTAAAACTTTCCGCTTCATGACTTCCTTCATCATCAAATCCCATGTCGAACGTCCTCGTCATTCATGGAAGGAAGAATACGACTCCTCTGCTTGCGCCTTCTGTCGCATTATCAACAACGAATCTCCCTCGAATCGTGTCTTCGAGAATGACAAAGTGGTCGCGTTTCTAGGTCATTATTAAGTCATTTCACAGTTGTTTTATGGAGGCTGGCCTGAAGCTGATACTTCTCATATACTTTCGCATTGCTTTGGTTGGCATTCGCAAGATATAATGCCTCTGAGGAGAGGACATACCCTCGTCGTCCCAAAAGCGCATTATTCCAGGTTATCGGAGTTACCCCCCGAATTCGCGTCCGCTGTCGGTGAAGCTATCTCTAAAGTTGCCCATGCTCTTACCCAAGGTCTGCTGTCCCTATTACGTGCAGCTTCTATGCTCTGACATGAGTATTAGCTCTTGGAAATACAGCACTCAATGTTGTGTGCAACCAAGAGTATGCACAGGCAGTTCCCCATGTAAGCACATAGGACTCTTTCTGAATGCCCCTGAGATGCAGACGACCATTATATAGGTCCACTATCATATTATACCTGCACCGAGATTCAACTTGGACGCTTCGTCGCCACCTCTGCCTCCGAAACCTGATTTGTCCAAGGAGAAAGAACCGCCAATGACCTTGCGACAAATGCACAGGATGGAGTTTGAAGGTCGAGATGAGCTGGACGATGACGATGCTGTTTCCTTAGTCAAGTCGATTCGTGCGCGGTTATGACTGGTTATGCTTCAAGGTATTCTAATATATTGCGAGGTCGAGATGAGAATGTATTACTGAACCTTGATATCGCAGTTAGATTTAACGCCGCTTAGAACCGGACATACCAGAAGCGCGCGTTATTCGAGGGCGCACTTTCACCCATACTTTGACCTTGGAGGTCTTTAGTCAAAGGCCTTAGAAAATCGATGTCGCATACTTCAACATCGCTTCTCTAATCTGCCAGCTTACTGTAAACTAATGTATAGGGCGAATGGAGAAGATAATCATTGGTACATGCAGATCCACATCATGCGACAGGCAAAGGTTCACGCTCTTGAAATTGTAAGCCATAACCAGCTTCTGCCCTGCTCGCATAACATCGCCATCAAGTTGGCAGTTACTCCAGGCTTCCCAACTCAATGCAGGGTAGGTCTACTCGTAAGTCGTCATCACACTTAGCACCACTTTTGTTATGACCGTCGCGTGTTGTATTCTTATGAGCTACGGGACCCGCATTGAAACTCCACATTGTCTGTAACTTCGCATACCATAGAGGATTCTGGCGTACACGATGACGGGTGGTAGAGCATTTTTTCACGCCCGGATCGTAACGAGCTTCGACGTTTATTTATCTCTTTTTGAAAGCGTAGCTTCGTGAAGCGCAGGTTGCGTCTTCTCTTTCTTCATGAACTTTCAGGAGGATGCAACCCTTTTTTATCCAGGGTCAACCGGGCACTGGAAGTTCTGACCCCAATAACTACGGTCGGTCTTCCCTTGATCAAATGACAGTCGATCGAAGTGGCGGGCAGTACAACCTCAAACGTTGGTGTGAGTCACTCCGGCTACTGGAATCGAGTCTAGGTGCTGCTAACCAACTAGTGCTCGACGCTTGGGTAGTAGGCTACCAACCAAGTTGAACCAACTATGCACCAATGGTATATTTTCTAGGCGCTAAACCACCGGGTAAGTTCCAAATTTGGTTCGGGTGTACATTTCAGCCAGATCTTTAATCAAAGGGCCCTGATTTACAAATTACCTCCCAGCATTATAAAAGGAGAAGATCCAACTATGGCGGGCTTGTCAACTCGCTGGTCGAGCTCCCGGGTCCCATTTCTAAACGACTTACCTTCACAATAATGCGTTTCAGCTACTTGTCCACTGCAGCTGCTTTCGGTCTATTCTCGACTCTCTCAACTGTCTCCGCTGTACCCGTTAATGTGAGCTCTTATATCAACCCTTTTATTTTACGCATTAATCATGCTTGACCTCAGCATGGTGTCATCTCGCCCAGCTCCCCTGATGCTGCGAATGCGAATGCGAAGAATGCACAGCTTTCTGCCCAGTTGCACTCCCAATCCAATGCTAAATTGCCGCCGGCTGACGTCGGAAAATCTCCTTCTGCCAAAACAGGGCAGCTTCTTAGCCCAACCTCCGCCATTGGCACAGACATCATCGTCACCTTCTGGAAGGCCGGACAGTACCATGAATTACAAGAGCATCTCCAAGAGAATCTCCATGGTGGCGCCGCACATCCAGCCGTCCCTATACCATGTGGTACCCGGGAAGGAGATATCAAACAAAAAATCATCACATTTCTTCACAAAGCCATTCCTGCCTCAAACACCCATCCTTCTGGGCAACGTATCATCCTTGAAGGTCCGCCAAACTATCCTCCTCGTTGGGAGGGTACCTGCCTGTTATCTGGGGATATTAGTATGTTTGATGTTGCGGTGGACAATGGTGGAAAGGGAGGGAGGTGTGCAACTCAGAAGAAGTCAGGATCGGAATCAGGTTCAGAATCCGAATCCGAACCAGAACAATGCACAGTAACTTTTCATGTGGATACGGGACTGGGGACGTTAGTGGACCATCAGGATGGTGATACAGTTTATAGTGATGTACCCGGGGGGCCGCACGCACAGACCCACCATTAGTACAAGTAACTACTATTATCGGTGTTTATGTCTACTTTGTTTCATGCCCAGGTTGAATTTTCTCGTGTCGTTTCGAAGTTCCAGTGATCCCGGAGAAGGGGTCACTCTTGAGTCTTCTATAGAACGATTCACATGAATATTTCAGATGAGCACTCCATTTCTCCATCGCGCACTACTTGACCCGCAATCGCCTGCTCCGACAAAAAGCCTTCAATGGAACTGTTACCACACATATTTCCACACATACTTCCAAGTTGCTTCCAAGGCTGAAACGTACGCTTTACGGGCTCAAGGAATCTATCTGTAGCGTTCGGCCTTGCGGCCGGTAAGCAATATGGGCATGTAGTGTAGTGGTTATCGCGTCCGCTTTGCATCATCGTGCCGTTCGGCAAGTGTCTTGCGGAAGGTCTCCGGTTCAATCCCGGACTTGTCCATTTGTGTAGGCCTGTACTGCAGAGTCTTTTTTTTTTTGAAAAGTATGGAGCACTATTGGTCTTGTAATCGGAGCAGATTGAGAATTTTGTACGAACACCAGTAGCTGGATGGATTGTGGCACAGTAGTACGTGATTGTGATTGATAATATGTATGTGAAGGTACTTGTACTGGGCGCAATATGGGCATTTAGTGAAGGGTTTATCGCATCTAGTCTCCTATGCGGATGTGTGTAGATATATCCATATCGTCATCTGTATTTGAGTCTGCCTACGGGAGACTATATGCATACCCGACATTCACTACTATGTCTTGCAGAAGGTGTCCATACGATTGTAAGATACAATTGTATTTCGATTTTTTTTCGCCTTTATAATGGTATACTAGGGTGGGAAGCACAACGAACCAAATTCGAATCCACATATGTGACAATGACAATTGACACATTGGACTACTACTGGTACCTACGGTATGTGTATGTAAAAGGTACCGCGTAAGTAAGTATATGAATTGCCTCGCTTGCCAGCGCATTTCGAATTCATTTGAAATAGGTGATTCTAGAAGGTACTGGCCACACGAGTCTCGAGGTCAGCGTATAATGATGTATGAAATGGTATGAGCACGACTGTTTATGCACTCTGGATTTCATTTATACACAGCGGAGGCTGTATAATCGCGCATAATCGCATAAATTTATACCGGATCATACGGTTTATTGATGTAGTTTGCGCGGTGGTGCCCAGTTCTAACACTTCCACCTGCCGTGCCTGAACAACACATTCACATCTGGAGGGCGCACATTCACATTTGATGGCGCACATTGGGTTACAATTCGGTTAAATGAATTATCCGCCTGATTTATGACTGGGGGGGATGGCCGCAAGCGGCGAAGGGCCGAACCTTTTGGGATCAGAGAGCATGGATTTCTTCAATGGATTAGATATAAGTGGCATATAATAAACTAGTACTGCTGAAAATGATGACGTTCGCCACCAAAACTTGAACATTCAAAACAAAATATGGAAGCATTGTTTCCAGCATCCGATGAGCCTCCTCAACAATAACGACCTTTTCAGCCCATGATAAAATGTCAAGCTCTCCGGTGCCGTATCAAGCATTGGATCAACAGCAGGCAGAGGAATGGGTAGATGCTCAGATTTGTCCGAAGTCTTTTGCCTCTTGTGCAGGAAATGTTTAGACTTCTGTGAAGATGCTCAAATTTGCGTAGCTTTAATGTCTTTGCAGAAGAGAGAACTTGCTTTGGAAACGTCACCATGCACTACAGCAGCACCAGTAGCATTTTCATGATGAACGAGGCAACTAGAGGTGCACAAGTGAAGCAAAAACAAACATAGGTTAGTGGCGTACTCGCACAACCATTGCAGATAAGATTGTGATATACCATTTATAGAAGGGCAGTACTAGCAGAAAAAGGAAATGCATTGTCCCAATATGGATCCCGTGGGAAAAGTCTGGAAATAACATGCACTTGACATTCTTGTAAGGAGCCAAACCTAAAGGTTCGGCAATAAGCAGCTTGGGAACTCCCTGAGGCATTAATTCGCCGCCGTTAGGGCTAGCTCTGCTAGCCCTAACAATGCAGATAACCTGAGCTAAATTTTTGCTGGTTAGGTTCGGGGTTGGGGTGCCGAAGGCGCTAGGTTAGGGGTTAGGGTTGCCCGAAGGGCCTGAGGACATTTTTCCTGCACAAAATGAAGCTTTAGAGTGCCCGCCGACGACTCCCCGGCTCGGGGGACCTCCTGAGCGCAGCGAGGGAGGGGAGGGGAGCGGAGAGCGGGCCTGAAATTTTGCGCGCTCGTCCGACCTAAATAGGAAGATGAAAGCCAATGTGCATGCTCCAGATGTGAATGTGCGCGGTTCAAATGTGAATGTATCACTCAGGCACGGCAAGTGGAAGTGTTAGAACTAGGTCATACCCTAGTTTGCGAGCAAATAAACATTTCTAATTTTTTTTGCAATGGCGGCCCGGGTCTGAAAATGGGGAGGAACAGGAGCAGGATGCAAGTGAAACGGCAGCGTGCTGGGCTGTTGCTGCGGGCGATGCATGGTAAAATATCTGGGAAGAGGATATAATAAATTCTTAAGATCTATTGTAAAATACCTTCGGATTGATGACTTTTGTTAAATCATCAATCTTCGGAATTTCTTATTGAACTTGAGTCAATTCTGTTTCCGTGCAGCCGTGTAGGGCAGATGGAAAATAAAACCCCTTCGTCTCGCCCTGATTCAATTCCACACCTATTTGCACCTTGCAAATCAAAACATTATGATGCTTCGATTTGATACTGTCAATGGATCGCCGCGGATTGCAAGCCAATGAATTTTCCCAAGACGGATACAATGTACTTCCTCCTTGGTCGATGCTTGGCCGATATATCGACCTTGTAGTATTGACCAGATATCTTGACTCGTTATGAATAACGAGTAGCATAAGTATTGACAATTGTGTGCTGTCGAAACTTGTAGCTTGCAAGGTTGAAGCCCAAGTCTGTGGGCTAGGCCCGGGCGGCCATCTCCCATGATGCCTGATTCCATACTCAGGCTCCTTCCTCTTCTGAGTGCAAAGATAGCCAAGACCCAGCAATGAAAATAGTCGTACACTGGCCGCGGTAGCGCATTCAAAGCAGCCTCTTCGGATGCTTTTTTTTTTTTTTTGCTCGTGTGATCTTCAAGCTCGTCTCTCACAACGGTGCCACTCCTGTTCCCGAAAGTCATTCATTACCAAAATCTAATATCAATCTGTGTCATCATGTGCCAGTATTCCTGGAATCTTATTTTGCAGTGGTAAGCCTTTTCTTACACTAAAAGCACCCGAATATATGTAACAGTACATTCAACAGATTGTCCTATGGAACTTGGCGAAACCTTCTCAGGCGCTTGTGATAGAAGCTGTTATGAGCCAGTATTCCTGGAATCTTATTTCGCAGTGGTAAGCCTTTTCTTACACTAAGAGCACCCGAATATATGTAACAGTACATTCAACAGATTGTCCTATGGAACTTGGCAAAACCTTCTCAGGCACTTGTGATAGAAGCTGTTATGAATACGATGTTGCTATGATGAAGAAATGGTATAAAGTAAGCCTTCCTAAGCAGGAGTCACTGTACACCCATCATATCACTTAGTACACCATCTACTGGCATGACACCAGAAGAGTCAGAACAAATCGCATCTCTTGGGGCTGTATTCTTTCAAAATATGAGCTCTACTGTGATATTTACTATGGGACTGTTTGGTAAGTACCGTATATGAAGGTGCCAGGTGGTGGAGAAAGATACTATTTAACAGGTTGCTAACAGGGGTCTACATACTGGCTTTCATCATTGGCATGTATATCATCTTGTGCGCTTATTGCCATTTCCACATTCTGTTATACAATTATACTAACACCTACATACCCAAAATCACACTGTAGGCGAAAGGAAAAGAAAATGGCACATAAAGCATTGATTGCTCTCATTCTGGGAGGATTTGTGCTAGTAATGCTTTTCACTTTGGCAGAGATTGCAGCCAATTTGTTTGTTGTCAAGTTTAGCCTGGTGGTGTCACTTCCAGGAGGTCTCGTGGCACAGGAAATAGCTGCCAACTCAAAACTTGTTGTCACGGGCATTGTTGAAGATTTGTGTGGAAATCTGATTGTGAGTGTTGCATTAATGCTCTATTTCGGAATGAAAACTGATATTCAATCCACATACAGTTCTTGGTTGCTGATATTGCTATTGGTTGGAGAGCTTGGGCACTATGGGCAGAAAATAGGCTGATTAAATGGACATTGCTGATTATCCTGCTGGCAGATATAGGTGATCTCTTTCTCTACTTTTCTCAGGCATGAGCACTGATATATGTAGGTATAAGCATTGCTGATGCCATTGCTGACACAGAAGTAGTCCTCAGCTTAAACAACAATAATACTATAACATTGGATGGGCTCAGTGCTGCACTCAGTCTGACAGTGAATATTGTGGCAACACTCTTGATAGCTCATCAGGCATGGTACTAGGCATTGAGCACTCCATCACTTCCAGGATACTTATTACTTGTGTGGTTTTAGGACACATCATCAATCTACCCATGCAATATTGCACAATGAGAAAACACAAGTGCAAGCAATCCTTCTACTTATGGTTGAGTCTGGTGCAATTTATGGTGGGGTACAGGTCTGTGGTTTTCTCAAGTCTATTGAAAGACAAAAATTCATTCTTTGAAAAGCTGTCAAGTATTATTATTCAAGTACTTGACATCCATGCAGCTCCTGCTTCACCCATTCAGAATGCCCGTTACTTTCTCGTAGTCTTATATGTCTACAGTGCTGTAAGTCTAATTTCATTCTAATATCAAGTTTCAATTCTGGCATGAATTATTTGATCTATTTTTCTTGGATCTATAGGTCTTGAACCCAGTTGCTCTTTTCATCCTGATTCAAACAGGAAACACCTATGAGCACACTTTTCATTTGGAAGATGTCACCTCCTTGGAAATTAATTCAACTCCAAATGTCAGCTAATAACCAAGGCGTTAGGCCATGGAGTGTCAGCTTCTTCTTTGATATCTGTCATTTTTTTTGTCATCCCTACTTTATGTATGTGAAGGTACATGTACTGGCAAGTTATTGTATTCAGTAAGGACATGTAGTGTGGTTGTGTTAAAGGTAGTGAACAGAGATGTATGGGTGAGTCAAGGCCCAAGTGTACTAATAGCATGAGATGAAGATACAATTAAGGGTATAATACCAAACGCAGTAGCATCAGCAAAACCTGTAGGTTCTCCAGAGTGCTACAGAGCTCCCAGAGCTTCTGGAGCAGCCAGAGCAAGGATAGTAGCTCCAGAGTGCTCTGAAGCTCTCTGGAGACCACCCATCATTTGATGCAACAAACTTTCAAGCCCCATTCAAATTTTAATCAAGAAATTTCACACTGTAACCAGGCAATAATACTTAGCACTACGAATACAACTACATATCTGTAATAACACTAGTGTAAT